AACAAGTGCAAGCAATCAAAAGAGTTTTGCAGAAATATCGAACAGTGAAACGAATAAATCTACCTTACTGGTGAAATGACACGGTTAATCATACTTAAGTTATGAGGTAGGAAAGAAATGAAGGAAATAACACTAGATATGATGCTTAGTGGAAAACAAACTTATTATAAGTGTGCGTACGTGTGTGTGTCCGCGAAATCGGATAAAAAGTTGATGATTGGAAGCCAAAGCTAACCTAGATTACTGAAATAATAATAATAATAATAAGAAAATGGGAAGAAAACTGGAAGTAATTAACTATAGACCCTTCTTTTTCTCTCTTATTTTCCTGCGGCTGCTGCTTCTTCTTCTTCTTCCATTTTACAAGCGAATTAAATTTCAAGATTGATGGCGAACTAACTTCAGTCAGAGAACCACTGAATATCAGAGAGTACTGGATAACTGTTTTATCTTTGCTTAGGACTTTTTCAGCAGTATGCACTCATGACTCGAGAAGGGATCAGACCGACGATCTTCTTCAGGTTACAAGACAAGCTAGTAGACTATTCGGCCACTGGGACGGAGTCTAATGACCTGTCGATTCTAACTTCTGCCTATTCGCCACATATAGCGCAACCGCCATTTGTCTTCACATCCAACTTGGTGTACCCAGTTTGTCACAATTCAGGCTAATTCATACAGCAGTCAGTCACTAGTGAGGACAGTTTATTAAGAACAACTCATCAGAACAAAAATTGATTGACGTAGGTTAGTTATTTCAAGGCGAAGAAACTTGAAGGAATGACACTTTACAAAGCAATTTTTCCGACTTTTTAGGTAGTCTAGAGAAATTATAGGACAGTAGATTGATTTCAGTTTGAAAGGAAACAAAATTACACCTAACGATAAACGCTCATACAACATTAAAAACTGACAAAAGTCTTAAAATTAAGATCAGTGAAGAAGTTCAACTTATAGATTTCAATATGACATCGGTGTGAAAATTTCATAAGTAAGTTACTCATTCTACTAAGTCCACTTGCACAGTCATAGAATAATATAGTGGTTCATATAACTCTGAAGAGTTCATTTAGAGTTGTCTAAATGCAGAATACCTTCAACCTAGATACTTTTGCAAACAAAAAAACCATCTCTGTGTCATTTTATTCATGAGCAGAAAATTGAAGCATTGCAGCGGGAAGTGGCGGCGTTAAAGTTGGCTGATAGAAAAGACCGGTGTTTTGAATGCGGTAAGCCGGAACACTGGAGAAGATACTGCCCAGAAAGGCGAAAAAGAAAAAATTTCAGACGGTATAATGCTTGTTCTTTCTTTCGTATGAACCTAGATTTAGTGGGGGCTATTGAGAAAGGGGCTATTATTACCTTGCCTTCCTTCCACTGATGCAACTCCTCTACTTGATGGCTCCTCACTCCCTCTTCACTCTGTGTCCACTAAAAACGACGAAAGCCAAAAAACCACCACGGATAGTCTCCTAAAGCCACGCCACCAATTTCATATAGGAGCATTTAATGTTAGGACACTTTGCCAAATAGGACAACAAGCATCACTAGCTAAGACCCTGGCATCTCGAGCCATTGATGTATGTTGTGTTTCAGAAACACGCATACAAGACCCAAGTGTGGTTATTCACCTAACCCCACCTGGCCAACAGGATGAATCTTCAAAATTCACCTTGAGGGTGTCAGGAGATGCCACAGCTAGTTCACGAGGATTAGCTGGCGTAGGGATAGCTCTGAGTACTAGGGCAGAAAAGACATTGCTTGACTGGATCCCGGTAGATAGCCGAATGTGTGCTGTCCGTCTGAACGGATCAGTAAGAAGGAGAAAGGACTGCACTACTCGCCGATGCCTTTTCGTAATCTCCGCCTACGCCCCCACTGACTGCAGTTCGGATGAAACGAAGGATGAGTTCTACCAAAAGCTGTCTAGTTTGGTGAGAAAGGCTAAACGCTCAGATATAGTCGTTCTAGCTGGTGACTTCAACGCTCAAGTAGGGAAATTGTGTCAATCTGAGAAGGATGTCGGTGGCACCTATGGAGTTCCGTGCCAGCGAACCGACAACGGTGACCGTCTCCTACAGTTCTGTTCAGATAATCATTTGTTTCTTGTAAGCACTAACTTTAAACACAAGGAGAGACACTGTTTAACCTGGCGACCCCCATCATCAAACCAACGCTGGACACAAATAGACCACATAGCAATAAGCTATCGTTGGCGTGGGTCGGTAGGAGATTGTCGCTCCTTCTGGAACACGTGTGTAGATACCGATCACGCACTGGTCCGGGCTCGTGTGTGCTTACGACTGAACGGACGTAGGAAACAGCTGGCGGTAAAACCATCACGTCCCCAGCTCGATCAGGAAACTAAATCCCTATTTGAGGAAGAACTAGCTAAACGCATATCTGAATTCGACAGCTGTGCTCACCCTGGAGAAGCCTGGAAGAATATTCAGTCAGCTATAGATACAGCTGTAAAAGCTGTGAATAAGACAAATCCAAAGGTGAGTAAAAACCACTGGATTTCGACTGCCTCATCCGAACTGATAGATGCTAGAAGACTTATTCCGGCGAGCTCCGAATTCAATGAGGAGCGAAAGCTGCACAAAAGGAAACTTACTAAAAGTCTCCGCAAGGACCGTGAACAGTGGTGGGTGACAAAGGCGAAAGAGATGGAAAAAGCATTGGCGATAGGCAACACTAGGCAACTCTTTAGACTCATCAGAATCGGGTGGGAGAAGGCAATTCATAAGTGAGACTATTTCTGAGAAAAATGGCTCCTTAATTAGCTCTCAGGATAGACGCCTTGAACGCTGGAAAGAACACTTTGAGGAACAATTTAACTTGCCTACAGCCACACTGAACCTCCCCGCCATCCACACACCCGAATGGGATATAGACACTGGTCCGCCGTCTGTAGTGAGGTTACAAAAGCTATCAGTAATTTGAAACGAGGCAAAGCGGCAGGACCCGACGGAATTATTCCGGAGGTGTTTAAATATGGGGGTGACATACTAGTTTGTAGATTAACTGAGGTACTAGGCAAAGTCTGGGAATCAGAGACAGTACCATCAGACTGGGGTAAGTCACTTATTATACCGATATTCAAGAAGGGAAACAAGTCCTCGTGTGATAATCATAGGGGGATCAGCCTAACGAACATAGTCTCTAAAATCCTAGGCTCAGTAATCATGCATAGACTAAGCAGAACTCGGGAGGAACAGACAAGGGAAAATCAAGCAGGCTTTAGACCAGGTAGAGGGTGCATAGATCATATCTTCACTCTTCGACAGATTCTAGAACATAGACACACTTTTCGGCGTCCAACAATTGTCATATTTCTTGACTTGAAGGCGGCCTTCGACTCCGTGGATCGAAAGGTACTATGGCAATGTCTGACTGTGAAGGGAGTGCCAAGAAAGTACATTGCACTAATCAAGGCACTCTATTCAAACTCACGTAGTCGTGTAAGGGCTTATGGGGAATTGTCATCTGAATTGGTAACAACCAGTGGTGTCCGACAGGGATGTCCACTTTCCCCATTTCTGTTTAACTTCATCATAGATATGCTAATGGAAGTATCCTTAACTGAACGTAGTGACTTAGGAATCGACTTGTTACCAGGGAATAATCTAATGGACTTAGAATATGCAGATGACATAGTCCTGTTAGGGGAGGATGCTGACAAAATGCAGAGTCTTCTGAACACCTTGAGCAGCAATCTTCGTATGTTTGGCATGCGATTCGCCCCTGCAAAATGTAAGATGCTGCTACAGGACTGGACGACGTCAACCCCTAACTTAGTGATAGGGAGTGAAGTGATAGAACATGTTGACCACTTCACCTACTTGGGAAGTTGTATTAGCACCAACGGACTGATTGGCGATGAAATCTCAGCACGGATCCGAAAAGCTCGAGCTGCTTTCGCTGACTTACACCATCTCTGGCGTAGGCGTGACATCCGGTTATCAACCAAGGGACGTGTGTACTGCTCATCAGTTCGCTCCGTCCTTCTCTATGGCTCTGAAACATGGCCAATACGCGTTGAAGACATGAAAAGGTTGACTGCTTTCGATCATAGATGTCTGCGATCTCTGTCTCACGTTAGGTGGTTTCACAAGATAAGTAATGTTGACGTTAGGCGTAGAGTGTTGGGCAAAGAGGGAAAATCAATCGACGAGGCTATAAAGTTACATAGACTAAGATGGCTAGGTCACGTGCTGCGCATGCCTAACCACCGCCTCCCCCGACGGGCATTGCTAGCTGATATAGGTTCAGGTTGGAAAAGAGCCAGTGGTGGCCAAACAAAAACATGGCCTCATCAATCCATGAAATCCTTGACAGTTAAACTGAGTCAGGTAGGGAGATGCAGACTTCCGGGTTGGGGCCCTCGGGACTCTAGGAATCAATGGCTGGAGACAATAGGTGACATGGCTCAAAATCGTTGTCAATGGCGCAGATGTATTCAGTCTCTGTAATCTTTCATATTCCTTTCTACCATTACCCATTCTGTTTCACTCTTATATTTGTCAAACTCTATTGATTCTCTTCACTCATCTTCTTGTCTACCTCTGTGTGCTATTTGGAACGTGGCAACTCGAACTGCTGCACTTCGGTGCCAAGTTCTATGTTGAATCCAGACAGACATTGTTGTACCCGAACTACAGCGAACGATATTAGGAGCGGATTTTCTGCGTGAGATTGGTGCAATAATCGACACGCAAGCGAACGTGGTGATCACGAAATACGGGCATATCAACATGTATGAGACCAGCGAGATAGCAGCGATTAAGCTGTCGACGGTACACAATGTGACAGAGTTAATAAATAAATACGATCATCTGTTGCCAGCCCTTGTCTTCTGTTGTTACATTGTTACAGCACATTTTTAAAAAATACTACGAACCGATATGGGTCTGAAATTCGATAAGAATTAAATTCCAACAAATATATTTTCTATGAAAATGTATAGATTAATTAGGTATCAATTGACAGTCACTTACCAGCATAGCGACTAATTCTTCTCTTCTCTTTCCTATTAATCCCCGTTCAACAATCCCATTCAAATTCTCTCTTTGTGATTGTGAACGTGATGCATTAGTGAAAAGAGATACAGTTGCTTGATCATGTTTATGCTTACTATCAGATCCACTTGTTTTATTACGTAAATTGACACGATCAGATGAAGAACGATTCGGTTGACGACTTCTATAACCATCGACAGCACTAGACGACTTAATCAAAGAACGACCTGGAATGGTTTTAATAAAAAAAACAAAGAAGGTAATTAATTAAACTGTTAGAACGTTAGGCAAAATAAATCTCAAGCAGGTTCATTTCTGTGTTTTTATTGATGATTCACAAATATTGCGCAAGGACTAACTGGTTGTCTGAGTCCCGATAAGTAAATCAGTCTTTGAAACAGTTAAAATACACAGAATTGAATTCAGAAAAGAGAAAGATTGAGTGAATAAATATTTACTTTTCAATTCTATATTTTGAATTCAATATTTCTTCGCTCATTTTTTCTCTTTTCTAAATGTTTAAATGGGGATATTTTCTATATTAGAATTGAATTCAATGATTACAATGAAAAATCTAGATAAGCTTGATGATAATTAATAATAATAGTAAGATTCATAATAATGGATAAAGCAAGACTGCCTACCATCACAAATGATATTCCTAACTATGGTGCAACATACTATACGGGCGGGGGGGGAGAAGATAGGAATCCGTTGCACTGATGAGAAGACTCTTACAGATCTGAACTTCACGGACTATTGACGCTTAATGTAACATAAATTCGAAGACTTGCAGGCGAAAAAAACAGACTGACTGAAGAGGCAGTCGGCGAAGACAGGACTCCAGGTCAACACACAGAAGACAGAGGTAATGAAGATACTTAACCAGTTAACCAACAACAAAAGAACCAACCACCACCACTACCACTACCGAGAGGAATTTTTAAGAAAGTCACCTCTTTCACTTATCCAGTCAGCACTGTTTCAAATAAAAGTATAGATGAGGATTTCAAAAGCAGCAGCGGAAAGGAAAGACACACCTTCGTCACTCTGAAATCATTTTTGGAGATCTTCTGCACTCAACATAGAGAACAGAATTTGGATTTTCAACACCAATGCTAACTCAGTCAGTTGGCTCTTTTATGTGGGTTAGAAACTTGATGGATGCGTCAGGGGAAGCATTTTTAACAGGTTACTGGGGACTTTTATCAACAGCTGTCTTCGCTTACTCCATACTGCAGATCAGATAGCCGGAAAGAATTAGCAACGAACAACTATGTGAAGGAGCCAATCAACAATCTGTTGCTCAATAAACAAGTCAAACAAAGTGGGTATAATCGGAAACACGTCATTCAGTGGAATCTGAATAGGAAACGATGACTTGGGTGTCCGAGGGTGACATGGAGGAGATGAGAACTTATGATCATTTGTGAAGCCAGAGAATAGGACGAAATGGAAATGTGTTGTTGATGCCTTATGTCCCACTCATGGGCTAAGGGAATAATCATCATAATAATAATAAGATAATAAGTAAAAGTGTGCATATGGAATTGGAAAGAAATTCAAGGTAACAAACGCTTTAGAAAGAATAATTATAATTCAGAAATATAAAATTTACGTATAATAAAACTATTCACTAAAAATATTTTGTTTTAACAAAGATTGAAAGTTCAACTGGAGAGGCTAGTCACTTCATTTACTGTGATGATGTGATCTAGTGGATTTTGAAGCATTTATACTTTGGATGTTTACAGTTTAAAATAGATATAAATGAATGTCAAATGTAATATTTTATGTAAATCACCTTGAATTAAATTAATTAAAAGTATTTCAAATAAAGTTGTGAATGACAAATATGTTGCTGGTTTACTAGGTCATCAGTACACACACGCACACAAAGTGCACGTAAACAAAAACTATCGACACAAATGCTTGTTAGGGTTACACAACGAGTAAGGGCACACAGTTTTTATATAAGTACGAAGAATGCAAAATAGCATAATGTGCACAGACACACGTTGGATACTTAGTTCAAATCAAATAGTCGACTGAAGAATGCTCGTAAATTGATGATAATGGTCGAGAATGGTAGATTTAAAGTACGGAAACTTCTGTGATGATATGCATACAAGGTCAACAGTTTGATTATATGCGTATATGCTTAATTTCACTAAATAATGACAAGTGATTTAAGTTTAAAATGTCAAATTAACTAGAGCGATTGAAGTTCACTTAATCGATCAAGTGTAACATAGTCCCAAAGCTAAAATAAGGACATTGAAGATGGCTTGCATTTAAAATAAGTTCGTACTAACCTCCTGTGGCATATTTTACTGTGCACCTTTATCAACGGATAAATTAATATTATTAAAAGTTGAGAAAAAATCTAAATCTTGAAAATTTTTCACCTTTCTTATCTTCTTTTTTTTTCAAAAAATTCTTTTATTATAGATTTCCCACTTTAAATGAATAATTTTAAATGTCGTATTTTAGATGGACAGTTTATCTGACAAATCTCAAGATAACCCTTTCAATCTAGTACAAATGATGGTGGGTAGAATAAAATGATAAAAGCTTCACATTAAACCATTCATTATTCAGTAACAGAAATTCAGATGAAATTAGATAAGAAAAGAGGGTATGCTGGAAGCAAAAGTGGTGGTATGAAAATACAGTCTCAGTTTGCAAATCACAAACATTTCAACAGTCTTAGGCCTGCAAAAGTTGACAGAAGTTTACCAAATAACTTCTATATACATGTAGTAAATCATTTTTCCATTATTTCTACGAATACAAGATCTTTTATTGGGTCCAAAGTTCTGTAACGGTATATCCCGATTAAACAGACTGAACACTCAAGTGTGACTTCAAAAAACATAATCAATCAGAGAGTTGACGAGTGTTGTACTCTTACCACTATAGGAGTTTCAGTATTTTCAATCCATTGTTCTTGACCGTTGTTATTAGCTTACTCATTGCAAGCGGCGTTGTAATCAATTACCACATATAACAGAAATTAACTAACAGATCATAAGCCGCTTTGCACACTCAACGTTCAATTCAGACTGAATAATACGATATACAGACAAAAAGATGTGACTAGTGTTGAATCTAATTATGGCAGATTGATTCACATTGAGGATGGATAACACTTAGCTAGGTTATTAGTGGCCTTGACATCTACAAAAGTCATGCAGACGACAAGTTTATTGCATATTATTGTTATTGTTCCCGTGGGTTCCTAGTGGAACATAAGGCTTCCCTTTCAGGTTCCACTCAAGGAGCTGACGCACAATGTCACCCAGCGGCCTCCTCAGAGAGTGTCCAATCCATCTCCACTTTCTCCTGCATATTTGTTGGGCGACTGCTTCTTGTTTTATTTGTTCCCATAGTTTCTTGTTGATGATCCTTTCCGCCACGGCCATCTGATCTTCAGTATAGAGCGAAGACAGTTGTTGATAAAGGTCTGCAACAGGCTGTTGGAAATATTCTTTGTGACTCGCCCGCCAAGTTTCTGATCCGTATAGAAGAACTGACTGACTTGACGTTTGTATTGAAAATCCTACTGAATTTTGTTGTTGATGGTGGCTGAGTGACGAAGATAACCAGATTGGTTTCAAGTTCATTATATGCAATAAGGATTTGACCTAGAAGCTATTCCATACATAAATAACAACCATCATTCTTCCTCAAAACTTTCCACAGAAAAAGAAACAGGATCAAGCGTTCCTTTTTTGATGTATTTATTAATACACGTAGTAACGAATCTCTTAAAAGATCCACCCATCGAAAACATGCACCAATTTCCATAGTTGAATACCTATCTCCAGAAAAAAAAACTTGACTATTACTCTTCTTATACAATATGTAAAGACCTAAAATCGTTTTAGCAATGAACACATCAAGGAGAAACATCATAAACTGACTACAATCTCAGTTCCAAAGGAAACCAATTTGCCTAAAAGTTCCCCTCACAATCAGGCAGCAAGACATTTATCCTACCATAGCTTTAGTTAGTCATTACTAGCCAAAAACTGTTTTCTCAGTGTATAAAAAAAATAAGCGCCTATCAGTTTAACTACCCGTTTGGAGCAAATTACATTGTCCTGGATCCAAGGAATGCTTTTTGTATGAATACAAAAGCGTATCCCAGGATGGTTTGGTGGGGATGAAAGGTTAGTGCTTATGAGATGAATTATTGAATAATTGAACAAAGTTGGTTACTTAACTAATCCTGACAATGATTTTACGACTATTAATCGAATTCACGCAAGGTTGACGCGTGTCCTTTGTTTTTCACTTTCAAAAGCACAAGAAGCCTTGGCTACTCGTGAAGTGAAGCTAAAACCAAACTCTCTCATCTCTTCCTCACACCATCTCCTTAATGTAACTCTCGCACTGACGACCCACTCGTCGATTCCCATTTGGATTCCACTCGAGAAATGGCCTGCATAGCGTGGGATTTCATTCGACGCTCTCCTTAATGTATGTCCGATCCATATCTACTCTCTCCTACATACATTTATTGAGCAATTGATTCTTGTATGTTGCTATGTTCCCATAATTTCTAGTTGCTCATTCTCTCTGGCCATTTGATCTTCAGTATGGAGCCAGAGAAGACAGCTGATGATGAAAGTTTGCAGCCTGTTGAAAATCCCTCCATTATAGGTCAAATTTATTTTGATAGTCTCACAATGTTATACTGTTTTAATTTACTGATGACGTTTCCAGCATAGTCATATCATATCGCCTTCATATGATTATGAGCAATACATTGCGCTCGAATGTGGAACCAAACTGGCTTCAGGTTGATGAAGTCGTATCTTGCCTTTCCGATTCTGACTGGCTTTGACACCTTCGTCCGTTCCGTCTGTGGTTGAAATGATGCTTCCCAGATAATTGAGGAAGGCAACCTCTGTTAAATCTCTCCCGTTGATGGTGATTGGTACTGGTTATTGTTGCTGTTGATTGATTATCTTCATCACCTTAGTCTTCTCTATGTTTACTTGCAGTTCAACTTTCGCTACCTTTTCAGCCAGTTTGCTGGTCTTCGCTTGCAAGTTTTCGAGTTTGTGTAGCATTAGACATATATCATCTGCGAAATCCAAATCTTCTACAGTATTTTCGTCTGTCGGCAACAGTACTCCTGACTCCTCGCCCCAGACAGTCTGACGCATAATCCAGTTCACAACAATTAAGAATGTCATCGGTGATAATAAACAGCCAGGCTTGCCTTACTCCTGTATGCAATTTCAACGCCTCGCCAAGCTTCCTGTTGTGAATCACCTGACATTTGGCACTGCCATATAGCCGGCTGTCAAATGAGGTTGACAAACACTTGAGATACACCATAGTGTTGAAGAAGTTTCCAAATTACTGCCAGTCTAAGGCCTTTTCGAAGTCGATGAAGTTGTCGAGGTAGAGAGAGAGAGAGAGAATTAGAGTTTTGACTGCCATTTTATGCTTTGTTCTATGATGACGATATGCAGAGTTGCAATTTGATCAGCACATGATTTGCCTTTCTTGAATCCACCTTGTTCCGGTGGGCGGAGCACTGCATCCAATGCATCATTTATTCTCTCCAGGATGATGTGACTTGGTATTTTATTTGGCGTGGACAAGAGCATTATTCCATTCCAGTTCTTGCGCAAGCCTAAGTCGCCCTTCTTTGGCAGTTTGACGAGGTGATCAGCCCTTCTTACTATCAGTAGGCACTTTTTTTTCTTTCCAAACTTCTTGCAGTAATGGAGTGAGAACATCTGCCGTAATCTTTGGGACCGTCTCCAGTGCTTCGGGAGGAATTCCGTCTGGTCTTGCTGCCTTCCCGGATGACCTTCAGTAGCTTGATTGCATTCAGGTCTCCTTCTTTCGTTGGAAAAGTGGCATCCACTGGCATTTCCATGCGTGCTGTTGGTGGTATTTCTGGGTGAGATGCTGGTGGTGGTCAATTCAAGAGTCCTTTAAAGTGGTCAGCCCATTGTTTAATTTGTTTCCCCTCCATGGTGATCAAGTTCCCTGGAGCATCTTTAATTGGTTTCATCATCTGAGTTGATCTCTTCCCGGATAGAGACTTGGTTATTAGATACAGTGTCCTGATGTCCCTTTTGCCTGTGCATTGCCTGTTCTGTTCCATTTGCCGGCCAGTGTGTCGTAGAATTGTCTTTTGTCTCTCCGAGCACTCTTCTTCACTTCTTTATTTAGTTCAGTGTACATTGAACTCAGTTTCTCTTTGTGTTGCCCATTTTTGAATTGATTCATCTTCTCTTTCACCTTCCTTCTCTCCTCGTTGACAGCCATTCCTTGTCTTGTCTTCTCCTAGAACAGTTGTACACGTTTCCTCAAATATCGCTTTCAGAGAGTTCAAATGTTCCTCCACACAGGTTTCTTCAGTGATGCCACTTAGTGCGTCAGATTTTGCTCTGATATCTGTAGCGAAGGTATCCCTTGTAGCTGTGTCCTTCAGTTCAGTTTTTGAATGCCGAACTTGATTGCATGGATTTCCGCTTCACCTTGAAGGTTTCTTGAACTAGATGATGGTCTGAGCGCATACCCGCTCCTCTTCTCGACTTTGTGTCCAACAGACTGGCTGAGTTTCCACTTCCTTGAGATTGAGATGACACCTATTTGGTTTGTGGTATGTTCGTCAGGCGAAATCCATGTCACTGGCTTTGTGTATATCCTTGTGCTTGTATACGCTCCTTCCGATCACTAAATCGTTGAAACAGCAGAAGTCTGTGAATAATTCTCCGTTCTCATTCATTTCGGCAGATGAGAGCCTCTCGACCCATGATGAGTTCTCTTCCTGTATTATCTGCTCCCACTTTGGCATTCATATCGCCCATGGGGATTTCGATTTCACCATTTGGGATGTTGTCCATTACTGTTTGCAGTTGTCTGTAAAGATCCTCCTTCTTTTCTTGTTCCGCATTGTTTGTAGGTGCATAGCATCGGATTATCGTTACCTCAATTCCTTTGAAGTTGAATCTTGCTGTCATGATCCTGGATGAAATTGGTTCCCATTGGATTAGGGCTTCGGCTGCCAATGGTGACATCATTATAGTTGCTCCCTCAGTGTGTTTGTGGTTGTCATCTGTGTGACCAAGACGGAGTAGCTTATTGGCTCTTCCGCTGACTATGTTATTAATCCACATCCATTCCATCTGCTTTTGCAGATACCTAGTACTCCTTAGCCAGATCTTCGCATCTCTTTAGTTACCTGGGCAGCCTTCCGAGTCTTTCGTGTAAAACATACTTATGTACAACCTTCTATCATGGTCTTAGAATAAAGATGGGGCATAAAATATTTATTTTATTTATTTCACTTAGCGTGTCTCCCTGAGATTTATACATTCCATGGACGAGTTTATATATTACAAAGGCTGTTGTGTTATCGCTGTATGTTTATACTAGTCACACCGATTACTTAAATTCCCTCAAAGGATTTAATTTCTTTAAAAAAAAACCATTCACGTATACGGATGTTTAGTTTAATAATGAATTGATTGAGTCATTTAGTTCAATATTGCTTTCTGAATGTTATTCAACTGAAAGGAACTACACTATGTAAAAATAACTCAGATAAGTAAAATAAAACACGTAGACAAAAATATTTATATATGATGATATTACCTGAGGTAGTGGAATTTGATATAGGCAATTTTAATTGGTTAAATACACGATAAACACTATACAAATATATCATCCAGTCGGAATTGGTTTTAGGACAAATAATCGATTTCTTCTGGTCATATCCAACAGGATGACAGTGTTGAATCGGAGCAATACGATGTGAATCGATTTTAGCACCAAAATATATTGAAAAATGATCAGCCATCAAATTACAGGCAAGTGTTAAGCGTGAACTATTTGTCTGATCATCGGAAAGTCTAGTTCTACTTCCATCTCTATCATCAATTTCCAATGTGTCTATCAGATTTGGTAACAGTTCAGGATGATAACGGTGTATAAGGCAAAGAAGATTACGTCCACATTTCCAATTAGATGCATTCAAATCATTGATTGGATCAATTAGACCAGAGCGCAGATATGAACTTAATCGAATTTGAAACCAACGGATTAAACAACTATCAACAGGATTAGTATAAAAATTTCTCTGTTCATAATGTTCTGGTCTCATCCAATACTTAAACATTCCAGTTGGATGACGTTCATTCAATACGGAATAATCAATACCATTTTTAAGCAGTCGAATATCATCACTGATATCTCGGTCAGTTTTATATAAATGGTGTACTTGCTTTGGACTTATAAGATTTAAATCACAACGCTGATATCTAAAATATTCAAGAATAAACAAAAAGAGTTAGTTTATCGTTTTTCCTTTGAATTGAAATTACTTGGTTAACAAAAGATACAGAATAGTAAATTGTCCTTACTATGTAGCTGGAACTGCCTGCAAGCTTATTAGGGTTAAAATCCCAAGAATTTTCCAGAGTTGACTATGAACAATATAAATTATACTGATATACGATGATATCACGATGATATCTTCTTTAAAAAATAAGAAAAATAAATAATAGAGAGTAAAGTTATTCTTATATATTCTTAGCAAACTAATCGTAACATCACTAGATTACTACTCTCTAGTCCAATAACTCTATGAAGTTCTGCGTCAGTGGTAAAATAGTAGGTTGCCCACCGGCTACGCGAGAGGATCGGTTTCGATTGTCGGTTGACGCACTTTGAAACACCCCCGCCTAGCCGTAAGTAAGTTCAGAATACTGGGAAGGCTGGGCGCAAGGCCAGCAACTTTTTTTTTTGATTACAGCTTGATTCCACACCGTATTTTTAGTACAAGTATGGAATTTTCAGCGTGGATATCGGTAGCCCAAATTTCGCAGGCCGACCATAGATATCAGGTGTGCGTCGGCGTGGGCTCGAACCCCGGACCATATGCATGGTCGGCGAGAGTCCTAACCACTGTGCCACCGACTGCGTCTTTTAAAACAACACCACTACCACTGAAACTCCATGTACCACTCGAACTGCAGTGAATGAAAAAACAACTTCATGGGGTAACAGTGAAAATGGAGTTAGAAAATATAAAATCTCCTATCAGCCGTTGTTTATAATAGTTTAGGATCGTATGAATAGATTTGAAATGAAACTGCCGACTACTTTCGAAGCACGAAATCTGACAACTCTAAAAGTATATAACTATTAGAAATGAATATCGCCTACAACAGACTCTCATGACACACAATGAGGAAGTGATTGTATGTTTAATATGAATGAGAATCATTACTACACTACAGACTTCTATTTGACCAATCAGACTGTTCTCTACAATCCTCTGTAGCTGCCCCCACAACTGCTCATAGGATGTCATATCCGCCTCATATGGTATCTTTCATGTTACCTTCGGACGTCCAACTCGTCATTTCTCACTACGGTTTCACTCGGAAATATGCCGCGTGATGCTATTCAATAGTCGCCTCAACGTATGTGCAATCCATCTCCACTTTCTTCTGTATGTTGGCTGGACAACAAGTTCTTGACTGGTTCGTTGAAAGAGAGTTCTTTTCTGTCTATCCTTTCTGAATAAAGGTAGTGATTAATTACTATTTCTGCTTGAACAAAAAAAACCCTTTCAGCAAAGAAGGACTTGATGTAAAAGAATTAGAAGTAGTACTAATAGTAGTAGCGGATGTTATTTTAATAGTTTTAGAAATTACTCACACTACAATATATATATATATATTAGAAGAAATAAGTTTCTTCTACTTTATTTGGCGTACATTGTAGTTTATTTCTGGTAAAAAGAATTATAGTACACACATGCCCGCACACACCGCACACTGCGACAACCACTGGAAGAGAAGCATACACGGGAGGAGGAAATTCATTAAAGTCAAGTAAAAAACGACAGACATGCGAGACGCTACTTGTTATGATTTCAACAAAATAAAAAATAATTTACATTATGACTTATAAATTAAAAAAGCAACTTTATGAGTGTTACAGACATGGAATACATACAAAATATGCACAAAACACAAAATCACATATTAATTAGTTTGGTTTAGAACAATAAAAATAATAGATTAATAACAATAACAAACAAGTATGTTGATTGATACTGTTTTTTTTAGTGATGGTAATACTAGTAGCAACAATAATAGTGATCATAAATAACAAATTTATTGAATTCTTTTTTATGTTATTATTATTATTTTAAACAAACAAAATTGTTAGAGGATTCTCTTAGAATTATTACCACTTCAAACATGGAAGAAAAGCAGTGTACTTTTACAGCAGCGCAATACATAGAACAGAAATTGCAATCACAATAACAACAAGGAAAAAGTATTTTCAACATTTTATCATAGTTTTATGCAGTCAGAAATGAGACAGACTAAGTGTTTGACAAGTAACAACTGGCAAATGAATAAATGTTACAAATATCTTTAAACCAACATAATTTATTTTTTGATTTCAGCTTGATTCCACACCGTATTTTTGGTACAAGTATGGAATTTTCAGCATGTGACATCGGTAGGCCAAATTTTGCAGGCCGACCATAGATATCAGGTGTGGGTCGGCAGGGGATCGAATCCCGGACTATGTGCATGGTCGGCTAGAGTTCTGACCACTGTGCCACCGACGCACTGGATAGAAGAGAAACAGAACATTTTTTGGAGATGTGGAGAAAGAGATTGAGTTCATTCCACGAAGACGTAAATAATTTTACCCAGTGTATTTTCTGAGCTGTGTAGCTTAAATGTAGTAGTTAGCACTGAAGGTGTTCTCCAGTGGGACACTGAAGGCTTTCCAATTAAACTGTCTAGCTTAGATAGATAACACAGCAGCGTTGAAAACATTCACCTGAGCTACGAATCTTCTTTATTATTTCACAATGGTTTTAATCTATTATACTAATAATTAGAATTCACTCAGATATTTCAAGTGTACAGCATATGTTGCAAGCCTAAATGAAACAGAGTTTTATTCTTGATTAGAATGAAAAAAAATGGAAATAATTACAAGGCGTGAATGCATCATCAAAGGACTTATTAAAGCAACTTCTAGTTTACCAATTGATAAGTTTATGGACAGCCATAAGACCACTGATAAAATCACGCTTGCACTATAATCATTTTTCTTTCTTGACATTTTATCATAGTGAGTGAGGCGCATATTTTGCCTACACATCAGACCAGATGTCTGCTTAAAACGAATTTGTGCTGTATGAATATGACAGAGCATACAGAATCCACCAGTGTGATAATGAATAAATGCTTACATATCATTGAATGATCCGAAAACTTTACAAAAATTATCGATGACTGAGATGTTTGAAGTTGAATCTTTTAAATTAATAACCAAGATGTTACTGTTGTTCACTATTCCAGTAGCATAGATTTACCATGTTCAAAAGACTTATTAAATACTAAGGATAAGTACACATTTACAAAGTGCCAGTGGTTGTGTTTCAATTGTTCTGGTCAACTAAAAATAAGAATATGTCAGTTCAACAGTTCAACACATATCTGAAAACCCTATTGCTGAAGTAACATCTACATAAATGTATGAATGTCTTACTGAATTCAACTGGTCTAGTGATTTTGTGTTCTGTAGAGAAATAAGGAATAAATCCCATGAATTTCAATCGTGTCACTTTAAGTAATTTAACCAGTGTTCTAACGCATGCTGATTCAAAGGCGACATCTGAGCTATTCACTTCATGACTAGGCCTGCTATTGGATAGCATATACAGCCACCAAATAATAGTTGTAAATGATCACTAGAAAAGGAAGTGTGATTTATACCCAATGTTTGAAAATGACAATTAAGATGTTTCCATAGGTTCCACACGGGTTCAAATTTGATGTATCGTAAAAACAATTGATCAGATTTTGAAAGAAACAACCAGTGGGAAAGAGTTTTCAAAATTCTAATGAATGTGAAAAACGTGGACATTTTTAAAGTGACTAACAGCCAAACAAGTGATATAGAGCTCTGCAAAAAAGTTAATCAGTTCAAAATTCTACACAAAACGAGGAAACAGGAACAAAACTGAAACTACAATAAACAAGCATTGGTGTGATGCATAAAATAATAAAACCAAGATTATTGGAGATTTTCAGAATTTAGTAATTCATAAGGGGCGAATACATCTGCACCATTTTTACATATTATAAATCACTTGGCAGATAGTCCCCAGTGAGATAGGGTTGACGGAAACTAAACGTAACGATGGCAACACAAAAGTCAGAGGAAATAAAACATTGACTGGTTAACAGTAGAGTGTTTGAAAGTGTTTGAAAAAGGAAAAAATCTGCGTATGACGACAGTCAGTTATAGACAGATTACTATTATTACTATTCATTTGTCTCATACCTCTGTTTACTTTCTCTAATATGCATTTCTTCTACTTTCTTCTCTTGCTTTGTGTGCTACATGGAGGGTGGAGACTTGAACCGCCGCACATATGTGCAAAGTTCTATGTCGAAAACAGACAGACAGATTACTTTGTGATGATTAACCTTTCCGCACAATCAGTACGCAAATCATATTGCGAAAACAGTCGTTTAGATATATAAACAACAGTTTAGATATGATAGAGAAGATTTGTAGCTCAGGTGGATGATTTTGATGTGGTTTTGTTCTCTGAGCTGGATGGTTAATTTGAAGTATGCGCTGAAGATGTCACCCATTAGGGTGATGAAAGCTTCGCAAATTAACCATCCAGCTCAGAGAACAAAACCACATCAAAATCATAAACAACAGTCCTACCTCACTAAGTATCCAAGTTTCAAGTCTTTGGAGGAATATGAATGAACAGAAGATGGAGGACGACTCCTACCGCCAAGTGGCGGGTCTTAGGGTTTTTGGGATCAACTTATAATGCAGAACAGAAATAATGTGAATACATAACTAGCAAGTGGTTGTAGAGGTCAAAAGTATGAATAAATGTAGTAAAATTGGCAACTGTCTAAATCTAATTCTGAATTTTACAATGAATAACTTGTACTGGAACCGATGTTGTGTTAGTTATAATAATTGAGGGTTAACTAGTTAACTGACAGAAATTTAGTTGATAGCTCCACTAGAGTTAAGAGGCAATGAACTCAACCTCACATAAGTGTTAAGAGATAAAACACAATGAGCAATTTCCTCATACTGTGCAAAATCATGCAGCCCGGCGTCTTCAACAGAAAAATTGCAGGCCGTTCAAGACACCCATTACAAACAAACTGTATAAGCGATCCATGCAATTTTTTATTTTATTCACTAGGGCAATGAAAACAAACAAACAAAAACACACAGATGTTCAGTCCATACTAACGACTAACGCGTGCATCACAGGTGGTTTATGCACACTGTAAAATCAAACCAGTTGATTCCCTAGCCATATTACAATTTTTTTAAAAACTAGTAAAATTTATTCACCGTGGGAAGCTAGAGTGCAAGAACAAAGTTAACCTCAGGAGGATGGAATGCATGTTGTGCAGTTTCAATTTGACTACACTGACTAGGGTCCTGGACTAACTGCTTTTGATACAAGTCATTAGGGGAAAAGACAAATTAGTAAACATGTTAAAACTAAAAGAGTTGAAGTTAATGCTGCAAAGCTTCCTTCCGAAGGAACAAGTTCACAAATGTGTATAAAACTTGAGTAAAACTATAAAAGCTGGAAAAAATAACCTTCATTTGACTTTTTCAATTGTTTAATTAATAAGTAATAGAATGTCTAATCGTCTTGCTTAGGCATATATTTCTAGTATGGAAGTAGGCACTACAGTTACCATGGTAAATGTAACTAATACTATGGGAAAACAGTGCACCATTTGAATAAAAGTAATACCTACGCGTATAACTGTCAGTCTTTTTCTTTCATTTAATTAAAAACTAGATGCACAGCAAGTATGCTTTATGATTTATTTCAAAATTAAGTGGATCTACTGATTGACGTACAAACGTACAAATCCGTACAAAAGTGAATCAGTTCTAAATGCTACACATCAAAGAAACAAACACAGGTAATTGATGGAAACAGATAGAAACTGCAAAAGACAAAAATGAGTGTGATGCAGAGAACAATTCAATGAAGGCACGCAAATTTTGGAACATGGATGAAGAGTGAATACAGCTACGCCACCAATATAAGGAATTTTGAGTCATGTCACCACTGTATCTAATTATTGATCCCTAGGATTTGAGGACCTGACACACCTTGCCCAAATCTACCTAAACAGCTATGACCAACAATCATATTTTGGTATGACAACACATGACTCTTTAAAAGCTAATCATCCTTGAACTAACAATGCTAACTGAGGAAGGCAGCAGTTAAGTATGAATAATACATGTTCCGACTTCTCCACCCATAAAAGCTTCATAGAATTGTCAGTCGACTTTTACATAATGTATAATTTTAATCTTCCAGTAAACACAGGAAGCCAATGGACAAACATAACTAAAATTTTCGGAGCATTGTGCGGCCACGTCTTTTATAGTGAAGAGTGATGGGGAGAACTTCACAACGCACACTTCCACTAATGATTAACCGGATATCACACTAGGGTCAAAGATGGCGTAAATTGAAGAATACTTTATGAGCCTTTGATGATACCATTAAAGTTGGTACAACTTCCTAAAAATGAGCGAAGTGATTAAGGTATTCAACCATTTCACTCTCAATCCTTAAATTAGGATTCAGTGCAGACGAACCCTGTAACATTACTTTACATTACCTTCACTTTAGGGTTTTACATGGTTGTATGAGTTCGAGTACAGTGCCTTTGATTAGTAAAGCGTACTTTGTTATGCACTTATTTATTCGGATAATGTAAAGACGATCATCCGCCTGAATCCAATGGAGAGATGAGTTTTCTGCCCTGAAGTTTAATGCTATCCACAATAAACAGTCCGTAAGAACTTGCGAAAACGTTTTCTGACGCCCAAAAGTGAATTATGCAGATTTATGAAGATGGGAAAGTAGAGTTAAGTAAATAAATGTACTTTCAATCATAATGCACCTTTCACAAACAGTATAAATCGGAAGTTTGAGGAGCGAAAGTTGTGAATACTGATGCTTGTTGTCTGACATAACGAGAGTGAGAACTTCCGAATTTTTAGTATGAAGTTGGCAGTATGGTTTGAATAGACTTTGAGACTGCCCGTCCAGTGGTTTTACTTGACTGACTGTTTATCTTTATCTTCTGTGGATTGGTGGAATTATGCATACACATCTTACAGTGATTCTTCTCTTTTATAATTTCATTTCCAAAGAAGATATTCACATTTCCCTTTTTTGAACTAAATCTCATGGAATAACTGCTTATATATGGCATAAAGTTGATAACAACAGTGGATAACACCTGGGTGATTGGATATCACCTAACAGAAAACCTTTTAATCGTAAAAAAGTGATACGCGTATTACTTACCTTGTCATTGGATCCAACGTGTAGTCTTGAAAGTTTGGTGGCATATTCTGTGCCGTTGTCTGACTTAAATGTTGATAAACTGATTCACGCTGTGCGATGACTTGTAATGGATGTAAACCAGATGCAAGAAGAGAGACGGACCAAGCAGCGTCAAGCGCAGACATAAAGCCTAATGCACAACCACTACCAGTAGGCCAAAATGGCTAAAATGTAAATGAAAAAAGATAAAATAAAAAACAAAAATAAGCAATAAAATCATTACGCCCAATGTCAAATTTAAATAACTAAATAAAACGAAAAATAATTTTCAAATAAACAATATTTGCAGTTGGCGGCATGACAAAAAAAATGAGTTAAAATAACAGGAAATGCAAAAAAATGTCTAGAGGAGAGAAATCACTGTGGAAGAGCTAGGTGGGTTAAAATCAGTGATCTATGAGGAAAAAAAACAACTCCCGAAAGCAAAAATGACTAAAGCAGATTTCAATTCTGGAAAATTAATAGAAACAAATGCAACCAGTAGAAAATTACTTCTGCTGTTTATGAAGGACCAATGTTTCAATGAAAGGCATTCTCAGCTTAGCCACAGAATGAATAAAGACTTGAAACAAAGAAAAATCAGATGAATAGAAAAACGGTGTACCCTATGCTGAATAGCTTTGCATTCAAAGGTTTCCTAAAAAATAATACTGAATGTAACTAACATAAACTATCTTATCACTTTAATACAAACAACCTTAAGGAATATTACAACACTTCACCTATTTGTGAATGATTGAAAATTCCCCTTAGGATAAGTAATCCCAGTAGGTTGTATTAATTTTGGATTTAACTGGATTTTTATGCCCTAACCGACTAGTTCAAACATTCTTTGCAAGTGAACGCATTTTATTGGTCGGCTATTTTATAAATTACGTTATATTGTATAATCAGACCAGATTATTTCTCTTAATCATATATATTTGTTGGAAGTGAACGATATGCAAAATGAATGTTTCTATTTGTTTTGCTTGTTCTGTTAAATACTATCAGGATTCATTATTTCCCAGTGTGCAATGATAACGGTGCTTTTTAATATTTAATGAAGTACAACATCATATTTATGGATAGAAATGATGCAGAAGATTTGTAGTTCAGGTAGATGGTTTTGGCGTGTGTGTGTGTGTGTGTGTGCGTGTTATGTTTTTTTTTAGCTGGTTGGTTTATTCGTGAAACTTCCATTGTCCGTCTAGACACCTTCAGAGATAGCCTTATAATTAAAATAAGCTGTGGGGATTCTCCATGAATGAAATGATCGTCTTTCCTTATTATCATGACTGCGATCAGTAGTCTCCGGAGACTTTCTCATCAATGCATTCACTGTCAGGCTCACATAACACAACACTGAAATTCTATTGGTAGAGATAGCCAGGTACACTAGGTCATTAACTTGACACAGCAAGATAAATAAGCGGTAGAAGACTTGGGTAGCTTTTGTGCTGCTTCATGGAGCAAAACAAAAATAAAGAAACCCTATTGACAGGTGAGTTTAGAAGACAGCAGGCTAAGATACAAATAAGAACACAAGAGTTATAAACAGAAGGAGAGAATCGAATTGCACTGTGAAATATACATTATCTCCAACTACTAACCCAACACAACTACTATGATTTTCTGCTATAATTTTAATGGACTGATAGCTGAACCACTTCCTTACCTGGTTCCTAGGATATACAGTGGATTTTCTTATGTTGAAGGATTAAGCATCCAACATTGTGTAGTCAAAGTAAACTCTTGACAGAGTAGAAAACAAATCATAATGGTATGATTGAAAATCTTGGAGAACTACTCAGACTACTTCATGAACTTTCACTTACAAGGATAAACGCAGAAACAGGCTTTGCTTAGTTGTACGCTTATTATAGACAGTTTAGTAGCTCAAATAATAAACGACATGATCAATTTATATTTACGGCCTATACAACAGTCATCCTACAGACATACATATTAGCCATTCAAGGGTTCCATAGGATTTGAAAAGCATAATAACAAATTGCATTTTGGGGATTAATAATTATTACCATAAACAAAAGTCAGCCACTTTGAGACATTTTAGTGAGCTCTCAATACACACTACAAAATCACTTTGTTTAAAAGTGACGTAACAACTTTTGTATTGTATACACCATTGAACTATATAATAAACAGTTTGACAGTTTTCTCACCATAGCATTTTTAAACAAAACCTAGATTGGAAAGGTTTCGTACAGGGTGAAAAACAACAACAACAACAAAACAATTCGTATGAATTTAACAATATCAATAAACTATCGTGGCTGTTTAAAAAAAATGAAAAAACTGTGTAACAGTTAAAGAGCTGATAAAATGGACACTATTATCATTAAGTAATATGTTTATATCAGTGGAACATTTATAAACAAATCAGTATAATACATCTACCGTATGGTTTATTAATTCAATTAATTGCAGATTACAAGATTCATATCTACATGCAATAACTAATAATACAACATAGAACGATAACTATGTTGTTCACACAAACTGACTGACAGGCATTCTGTGAAAACTGGTCACTACAATCAAGTAAGTTGTGCAATTCAATTATGAAATAGGGTCTGTGGATCGTATATATATATATATATATATATATATATATATATATATATATATATATATATATATGCTATTCTTATCCCTCCTCCTTTGTCTCAAAAAAAGAAAGAGAAAAAATCCACAAACTTACAAAGCCACTGACATTCGAATAAATACAATAGGTATATGATTATAATTTCAACATTTGTGAATTATTTGCCTAGACGATTAGGTAATAAATCCAGACAGTTTACATTCCAGTTAACTAATCACTGTTGTATGCATCGAACTTTTAGTGGTGGCAGTGCATGTTTAAAGCGTATATGGTTAAGAGGTAAATATGAGAAGGCAGTGTATTAGTCCACGCAACCGTACATATTTTTCTTTCCTAATAATGAACAAAATAACTTTGGCCAATTGAAATACTTTATAGGCAACAGAAACATCTTAGTAAGTTAGAACAGAAAAGACAGTTAATTAGTCAGAGATTTTACCACTTTAGAAATTAACACAGTTTATTGATTGAATCAACCGGAAATCTGCTGATAAAAATGCTTTCTAGCTAGAGGCTTAAATTCACAATCGCAGCCATAAGAATATGGAAACTTAAAGTTATGTGTAGATGACTGAAGCGAGCCGAAAGACAGGCGATGGGTTCCTAATTTATTTTTTTGATTACAGCTTGATTCCACACCGTATTTTTGGTACAAGTATGGAATTTTCAGCATGGATATCGGTAGCCCGAATTTCGCAGGGCCGACCATAGATATCAGGTGTGGGTTGGCAGGGGATCGAACCTCGGACCATGTGTATGGTCGGCGAGAGTCCTAACCACTGTGCCACCGACGCACATAACAAAGGGTATGTGGTGAGTGGATCGAGAAATTCAGTAGTAAAAGGCGAGCGAGTAATACAACAACGAGTGCTCAAACAACAAGTGAGACCTTATACTAGTACAATTTATTGTAAATACAAAACTTAACAGATTAATGGAACATAATTGAAAAAAGAATAATCAAGTAATTAGTAGATCACGTAGAAGAATTAAGTTGAGTACAACCGGTCATTGCCGTATATCTTGATTTTTCTTGAAGTCTAAAACTTTGAAATATCTTTGCTATTTTATTTGTAGTATTTTTTTATTGAATTTCTCAATAGGTACCAATTACAACTTGTCCGCTGGACTAAACAAGAACCAAAATGATTGTAGTAGCAATGGTGTATTGTCAAAATACGCGAAATTGAGATATGCAAATAAACGAACAGCATTATTGTTTAAACACTGATCAAACAAACTTAGGCAAACATTACCGACAAGACGTATTATTAAACATTGTCAGTTGAATGGAATGGGAGTAACTAACAGAATTAGACTAATGAATCACGCCATCACGTGTACCTGTATACTAGATTATAACCCATATGACTCATTGTATCACGAGTATAGTAGGCGTGTGAATATAAAACTACTTACAAATCACCACATTAATATAGTCCTTGAAAAAGAAAAAAAATACAAACATAAGACTACAACAGGTGACCATGGCACTTCATTGAATGCTGAAGTGGTAATGTTTGTCCATGGTGCTTTATGCAGGTAAAACTAGGCGTATCTCTGAATACATCAAATGTAGAAACTGTTGATTTTCGTGTAATTAAATAGAAAAAAATATTTTATACTCAGGTAAAACCTTCTCACAGTAATTGAATGGTTCTAAAAGCCTTCCTTTGATACATATCACAACAAAATGTCCTCTTAGCTTTCTTTAATTTTCGAATATTTGAAAATTGCTTTCAATCAAACTAAGGCGAAAATCACCAACAAGATGTATTATTAAACATTGTCAACTGAATGGAATGGGGGCTAGTTACAAGACTGATTATGAGAGTAAGGGTGGACATGAGGCCAGTAACCCTATCCTGTAAAAATAAATACCACTGCTGCTACCGAAATTTTAGTCCTCTGGCTTGAAGCCTTATGTTCCATTAGGAATGAAAAGGAATAAAATATAAAATAATATAAATAAAACAAGTGAATCTTCAAACGTTCCGCAAAACTATTTTTGCTAGTTTTAATATGATATGGTTTGAAAACAGTTCATGGGCATTAGTGGTTAGTTTCACTTGAACAATGATAATGAGAATGTGAGTTTAATAGAGAGAAGATTTTTAAGTTTACATCTTTCTAGAAGAAAACTAATTTTGTTTTTTTAAATCAGTGTTAAATTAACTAAACTGATTAATTTAATTAGTTTATTTGGTGTTTTCCACTAATGATGATTATTTTTGTAAACAATATGTACACTGACAAAGAGTAAAGCTTTAAAACCAAGGTAATACTGTCGCATAACAATTCCTCTAACAAAATGATTATTGACTTTAGAAAGTAAATACAACACTGAAGTAGATTTCTGTTATGATTTGAACCAGATATCACAATGTATTTCAATATGGAAAAAATCCCCATTCAGACAGGAAGATTGAGGGAAGAAATATTATAGCCACTTCATTGGTAAACTGTTGTGTATTCTAATAAAAATGCTATATATATTAGAGTAGAGCCAGAGATGAGGATCTAATTGAAAAGTAAATATTTCTTCTCGCTAAATCT